TTTTCTGAGTCCAGGCTTACATACAGTCTTCTGAGTCTAGATAAGAAAGCACTTTGCCTTTCCCATCTCAGACACAACAGTATGCTATAAATTGACTGTATATGCCCAAGGGGCAGTCACTGTCTCACTTCTCCTACAACCAGTCTCTGGGGTCTCTGAGTAAGTCCTCATCTTTTCGCTGTGGCCTTTGAAGTACTCATTGTGTGCATGCTCATATCCGACTCTATGGACTCTAGCCCACCAGGCTCCCCTGTACATGGAATTTTTCAGGCAAGAATACTGGAGCGGGTTGCCAGTTCCTACTGCAGAGGATCTTCTCAACCCAGGGATCGAACCTGCATCTCTTGTGTTTCCTGCATTAGCGGGTGGATTCTTTACCCCTGTACCACTTGGGAAGCGCCCATAATCTTAGCTTTAGCCAAAAGGCTGGAAAGTACTGAGTAGCTTCCTCATGGTTACTTCCATAGAAATGAGTTTTTTCCTTATCGTGTGATTTCAGTATTAGCTTCAGGAAAGTAACATGTATGCCTTTATTTTCACGCTTCAAATCTTGCTTGAAAAAGAAACTTTCTTTTCTCATGAGATTTGGAAAGATGTGCTTACTACTCTTGTGTCCGAATGATTTGGGCTTTTAAAAATGCCATTTGGAAGTGGCTGCTTCATTTAATAGTAATGAAATGCCACTATGGGCCCCGGTGGGCATTAGAAAGGAAGCAGGACATTCCAAAAAGAACAAGACATATTTCTTGGAGTATTTAATGGCTCTCATTCCATTTACATGATCATCACAGCAGCAGCAGCCCATGTGAGGACAGGTAAGGTAGTTAGTTGTTAATGCCATTTTCCATCAGAAGCTGAGCTTGAAGAGGTTAAAGGATTTTGTCAAGAAGGGAGGTAGCTGGAGCCCTTCCCACCACATCTTGGACACAAGACGGTTAAATTGTATTTCGTGGCATCGATATTAGAGGTGTACAAATTCAGAGAGCAGGGAAGGACTGTGAGGGAGTGGCCCAGAAAGTCCTTGCAGAGAAGGACCTTACAGACTAAGGGAAGAATCTGGACTTGTTGAAGAGTAGATGGAGCAGTCCACGTTGGGGGCGGTGGATCACAGGGACTGTCTTAAAGAGTGAAGAGTTTCTTTGTCCCAGTTAATGAACGGAAGCTATTGGTTTATTTTGCTGTCTCTTTAAGAATTTCACTGGTTATTTCAAACTGCCTGATGGACTTGTTTTTTGCAAGATTAGTGTTCTTTCATTTGGATAGAAGCTTACAGTGCCAGAATGTGTGTGTGGTTTGTGTATGTCATGGCCCTGGATTATCTCCTACAATTTGATATTTTTCTACTTTGAAGAAGATTGTGTTGAGGAGGATATTATCTGACGGTGTTTCCCCATCAAAGAGAGGTGAAAAAATACCTTGTCCTTGGTCTGGTCTTTGTGGTTCTGAGGGGTTTTCCCCTCCTGGTAGACTTCCTGCATTGGGCAAGGGGAGAAATGAAGAACTTGTATATATGAAAAGTCCATGTTCATTTCTTTGAGCCTGAACATTCAATCACTAATTTTTCTTTAGAGTTCTCATAGCCACTTCAAGGTGTTGAGCATTCCCGTGGCTCTATCCTGATTGCTGCAGGATATTTGGGGAGAGGCCCGGGGTCTGATGCCAAGAGATTTCTTTCCTACAGGACCTTCTACTAGGACTCCCATTGACAGATGTCTTCTTGTCACTCTAGGTAGGTTAGTGGTGATTGAAGCCCCTCTGTAGTGGTTTTTAAGTGGCCAGATGAAACTTTGGTTTCATATTTCTCTCTGGAGGATACCCATCTTATTCTCCTTGACCATTCAAATTGTTTGAAAGCAGTTTTGTGTATCAGTGGCATTTTCAGTAGTTTACTTTCCGTTAAACCATCTACATGTTGCTAGTTGTAAGGGACATTTCCTTGGATACTGAGACAATATTGACTGAGCACCTTTTGGCCCCTTTGAAGTTGAGACGTGTGGATGCTTAAGGTTGTAGCCCTTCCGTGGCCCCTAAGAGTCCCCTGGGGCAGTCTAGACAGACCCTTAAGCATGAGGTGATATGTCAGGAAGGTGCAAAGTGCTGTGAGCTCTCAGAAGAGAACTCTTTTGCAAAGCCTGGACCAGCTGTCAAAGCTCCACCACCATTTGGTTGGTTGTTGTTTAGTCTGGAAAGTTGGGAGTTGGACATACTGTCCATTTTCATACCAGGGTTGTGTCTGAGGGGTTTGGTAGAGACAAGTTTGATCTTTGCAATCAGAAGGCCTGAGTCCAGGTCTTGTTTGTGCTTGTACCTCCTAGTGGGTCCATTGGGAGCTCGTAGTTACTAGGGAGGAAACAGGATTTAAAGCAGGACAGCCCAGATGAGGTCAGTGTAAGAAATCCTGGTAGAGTTTCAACTGGAGGATTTCCAGGTGATTCTGACATACTAATGTGTACTGTTGGCCCTTGGATGGATAACTCTGCAGTTCCTAGGCTCATTTGGGTTTTTTAAAACTTGGAACATTTTCTCAAATTATTATTCCACAAAGCATACTTAGGGAACACTGTCATTCCTAATTTCTAGCTCTTAAACTTACAAATCTGTGCAAGTTTTTTTTAGTTAACACAACATTCTTTTGAGAAAAGAAGTTAGTCCACAGTTCAACAGTGCATTTTCATCATGAGCTATAGCGAACAGTAGCTATTGGTTATGATATAAAATTTGAGAAAGTAAGAAAATATTATTTTACTTTTAGGCATGTTGACATATAACATTTTAGTTTTATATCTGCAGCATAATTTGTTACTTGTATATACTACAAATTGATCACCACAGTAAGTCTAGTTATCATCTGTCACTATATAATCGACTCCTCCTTCATCTATTTCACTTACTTCCAACCCTCTCCCCTCTGGTAGCCACCAGTCTCTTGTCTATAAGATTTGTAGTGTTTATTAATTTGTTTTTTTAGATTTCACAGATAAGTTATATCATACAGTATTTGTCTTTCTCTGTCTGACTTATTTCACTTAGCATAATAACCCTTAGGTTCATACATACTGTGACATACTTGTCACAAAGGGCAAGTGTACACTGTTGGTGGGAATGTAAATTGGTACAGTCACTATGGAAAACAGTGTGGAGGGTCTGAAAAAAATTGAAAAGAGAACTACCATGTGATCCAGCTATTTCACTTCTGATATTTATCTGAAGAAAACGAAAACACTAATTCACAAAGATATATGCGTATTCCCTTTGTTCATTGTAGCATTATGTATAATACCCAAGGTATGGAAATAATCTAAGTGTCTGTCCATGGATCAATGGATAAAGGGATAAAGAAGATTTGTGTGTGTATGTGTGTGCGTGTGTACACACACAGTGGAGTACTCCTCAGTCGTAGAAAACAGAAACAGTGCTGGATTGTATATCCTCAACTTTCATGTACGGATTTTAAAGTACTGACAGCAACCCTGTGAAGGAGATATTTGATCATGGCCACTTTGCAGATTAGTAAGCTGAAGTTCAAATAGTAGGCTATGCATGGAGATGCTGAAAGTCAAGCTATGGTCTGCCTTTCGCCAAAGGCCACATTTCATTAACAACAATGTTTTGTTATAGAGCTCAGTCTTTTATTTTTAACTTCTCTTGCTTTTTTAAAATTTTAAATGATTATTAAAAAATTAATATATATTTACTAAAGATAAGTAGGTGAGAGAGAAGTAGAAAATGCCCCCCAAGCCCATCATCAAGTAGAATTTCAGTCAGTATGTGATTTCTTTCCCAGTGTTTTATGCAATGTTATGTTCATTAACCATAATTGTGGTTAAATATATGTATGTACAACATATATACATTTTTATACTCTCTTTATATATATAATTTTGAATCTCCCCTACAGATGTGCATTTTGGTTATTGCCACAACACTGATAAAGCACACTGAACCAGGACTTGGAAACTTAGCTTGTAGCTCTTTTATACAAGCTGCTGCTTGACTGTGGGCAGGTTCATTGACCTTCCTGGAACTAAGTTTCCTTGAGGATAAGTGAGGGAGTTGGATCAGATCACTGGTTTTGAAGCTATGGTTTTCCACACAGTCTCCTGGGGGCTAGGGGTGAAGATGTCATCAGAGCAGAGAGGACCCTGGCCCTTTACTCCCATCTGTTTTCATTCAGGCATGCACTCTTATACCTCTTTTATAGATTTGGAGTCCAAGCATATTTGCAAAGAGGAACTCACTGATTTTTTGTGGAAGAGTATAAAATTGTTGGACCTGATGATCCTGAGGCTCGACACTTCTATGATTCTCTTTTATGATGTCTGTTAAGTTCTGTGTGCTCTGCACATTTAGAACATTTCTTCTCCAATCTACACTAATCTAGAGCAGTAGATTAAGCAGATTTGCTGCAGTCTTTCAGCTGATCTCAGGAACCACATAATAAGCACAGAAATAATCCCTGATCAGTGCTGAGCAATGTTCAAAGCACTGTTGAATTGTTTCTTAGCAAACTTACCACTGTCTTTGACTTGATCCATCTCAGGTCCAATTTAATGACTCTTTTGGGAAATACTAACCAGGTAGTCCCACTCCAGTACTCTTGCCTGGAAAATCCCATAGATGGAGGAGCCTGGTAGGCTGCAGTCCATGGGGTCGCTAAGAGTCGGACACGACTGAGCGACTCACTTTCACTTTTCACTTTCACTCATTGGAGAAGGAAATGGCAACCCACTCCAGTGTTCTTGCCTGGAGAATCCCAGGGATGGCGGAGCCTGGTGGGCTACTGTCTATGGGGTCGCACAGAGTTGGACACGATTGAAGTGACTTAGCAGCAGCAGCAGCAACCAGGTAGTCATTGGTTCCTTAAAACTAATATATGTTTGAAAACAATGGACTCCACCAATAACTGGTTTTCCGCTTTCCTTATGCATGTGAAGGTTATGAATCTTGAGGGATTAATTTGAAAGTCCCAGTAGCTTGACTTGTTTCTCTTGCCTCCACAGAAGGAAGAATCTTCTTCAGAAATGAGGTGAATTAATGCTCGGGCTCTCAAGAACCCTGGACAGATACATGAGGTGTTTAAAACCTGCCCTGACCATCTCGCCACACAGCTCCGTTATGAGGCCTGACAGGATGAACGCAGCGTGGAGGGACAGCGTCCTGCCCTGTCGGAGCGGTGACTGCTGACCCGCTGGGAGCAAGCAGGAGGTCCTCACATTGTCTGCCAGCACAATGAAGGAAGTGGTCTACTGGTCACCCGAGAAGGTGGCAGACTGGCTGCAGGAGAATGCTATGCCAGAGTACTGTGAGCCTCTGGAACATTTCACGGGCCGGGACTTGATCAGCCTCACCCAGGAGGATTTCACGAAACCCCCGCTGTGCCTAGTCACCTCTGACAACGGGCAGCGGCTCTTGCACATGATAGAGACCCTGAAGATGGAGCACCACTTGGAAGCACACAAGAATGGCCACGCCAACGGGCACCTCAGCATTGGCACCGGCGGCCCCGCCCCTCACGGCAGCTTCAGCATCAAGGTCAAACCCAACGGGATGCCCAATGGGTACAGGAAGGAAATGATCAAGATCCCCATGCCAGAACCGGAACGCTCCCAGTACCCCATGGAGTGGGGCAAGACTTTCCTGGCCTTTCTTTATGCACTTTCCTGCTTTGTTCTCACCACAGTGATGATCTCGGTCGTCCATGAACGAGTACCTCCCAAGGAGGTGCAGCCTCCACTACCGGACACGTTTTTTGACCATTTTAACCGGGTGCAGTGGGCCTTTTCTATTTGTGAAATTAACGGCATGATCCTTGTGGGACTCTGGTTAATTCAGTGGCTGCTCCTAAAGTACAAGTAAGTAAAGCGCAAGTCTGCAGTTTCAGGGGTTGGGAGGTGGCACGGCAGAGGTGTAATGTTCATTATTGGGAAACGAAGTTGATCAAGCAGTAGGAATCAAAGCACATTTCTTTCTTTCTTTCTTTCTTTTTTAAACCGCATAGTCTGTTAAACCAACCAAAGCTCTGGCAGCTTTAAGAAAGTGCTGTTTTGTACCGGATTCATACAGAGTGATGAGCAGGATTGTTAAAGATGAGGTTTTTCTGTTTTCACATCACAGGAAGGAAAACCCTCAGACATCTTCAGAGAGTACAGGCTATTAAACCATAGAAAACTACCCAGTCTTGGTGTGTTTAACCATCAAAATCAATGGTTGACAGTTGGCCTGTGGTCTATGAATGGCCCTATAGCTTTTTCCACACAGAATCAGATATCTGAACCTTAGTAATAAGTATCTGAAGATGCTTCACACATAGAATTCAGAACAGCTAGTCCAGAGTGACATGATCTAGTGGAGAGTGATACCCACTTTAGGTGGGATGTGGATGAACCTGCATGGCTTTCCACCTTTCTTTGGAACGTAAGGCATTTAGAACAGTATTCCATTCAAGTTTCTCAGGATTTTAAATAGTCATCTCCTTTTAGTTTCAGGTGAATCCAAAGTGGCTTTCATGTCCCAGGCTCTAAACTCAATGCAGCAAAGTTGTTTGCTTAAGTTGCATATAGCAAACTGAACACATACTTTGCCCTCCTCACGGGTGTCTGATTTTTCCATTAGCAGAACATCTTTATAGCTTCCACGCATGGGAGTTGGAAATTTGTTTGCTAAGGAACTGAGTTTCTCTCTGGTAGACTATGTTGCATGACCCACAGTGTGGTTGAATACTAAGGAAATCATCTTAAATAAAGAAAACAAAATGCAGACTGAGAATTTATGTCGAACTTTAATGGAAATTATCAGTTTTTTCTTGTGTGTTTTATGAAGTCTGTGTTTTCTTCCCTTATAAATTAGATATCTACAAGTGGAAATAAAAGCAACTCCTGAGTCTTTTCCAGTAAAGGACTATCTTTATGTTGTATATAGGAAGCTATTTAAGTAGCCAGTTTTTATCTGGGGGCTGGTTTGGCTATCCCAAGTTTAAGCAGGGAAGCCTGGTGTGCCACAGTCCGTTGGGTTGCACAGAGTTGGACATGACTGAATGACTGGAAAACAACAACAGAGTTTAAGTTAAATTTGATACAGGAGCAACGGTCTGGGATGCGTTTGAGTTGGTGGAAGAAAGACTGTTTCTTGTGCGCTTTAGTTTTAAGAGGCTGAATAAATAAGAATAGGCCATAGAAATATGAGATGCTCAAATATACTAATTACATTCTTCTGACTGTCAGATTTCAGTTCTGCTTTGACTTTCAAAATTTTTTCCCTAGAAGCTCATTAGGGGAAAAAAAATTAATGTTTGTATATTTTCCCTTAACAAAGGCAAGGTCAACTCAAAATTAGGTTTACTGGGGTCTTCCTGATTTTTGTTGTTTTGTTTATATGAGTTTGTTTTCTGGATTTTATCAAAATTCTTAACATGCCAGCTAATAATTTACTGCCCAGAACAGAACACTTATGTACTTGTGTGTATGCATCAAAACCTTTCACAGAACTGTGACTTTTGAATAGTTTTATTCTTGTTCTAAGAAATGTACTAACCACAGGGATAATTTCTTTAAAGTATATTACTATTTGTATTTCTTTCAGCAGGGACTTTTCATCAAATCTGTTTCTCTTGAAGCTTTCTGATTTTGTGTTTTACTGGTATTTGTTACTAATACTGTAGTCATTTGTATATTTAAATTGTTCTACAGCCGTAAATCAGTTAATTCATGCCTGGGGCAAAATTAACCCAAGGCTGGGACACAGGCAGCCTGGGCTCCAGTCCCAGCCATGTGCTAGCATGCTGGATAGAGTGGATGAATCTCCAAATCTCAGGAGCCTTGGTTTGCTCACAGATACAATAAAGACCTCTCAGTCTAGATGATTTCTGTTGCACTATACCACTGTGTTGTATTTGATTACAAACTCACTGAATGAGCCAGTTGCATTTGAGTGTTATTAGCTGCAGAGCATTTGCAGTTCAGAATATGTCCAACTTTAAAGGTTCTTTAAAGTCCTCTCTCTGGTTTCCACATTGGCAGGATAACCCAGTTGTTTTCATGAACGTCTTCAGCATCCCCACCCCTGTCCTACTATTGGGGCACATCCCTAGCTTCCCATCTCCCTCCTTGAGACCTCTCTTGAGTGTGTGTGGCAACACCAGACCTGGGAAAGGCAGGAAGAAAGACAGAGGTGGACACACCCAGCAGTGGCTATTAATGAGCTCCCTTTCCCTGGCCCTCATAAAGGTGGAACTGCTTCCTAGTGTAGAGAGACACCCTTTTTCCAGTTATTTGGCTGTGGCAGTGTAGCAGTCTGTGGCGCTGTAGCAGTCTGTTATTCAGCATGTTGGGAAAATGGATCCTTCTGGCTATGAAATATTCTATTTAAAAGCAGTAACCCTCTCATTTTTTCTGTGCTCAACTCTTCTGACACTTGACCCCTCTCCCTAGCCTCCACTCAAACTCAACTTTTCTAAAATCAGATTTATCATCTTTTTCTTTCAGCTTCTTCCTTCTATGTAGGCAGTGGCATTTCCTAGAAACCTACAACTTCTCAGTTCCTTTCATGTAAATAGTCACTAAGTTCTGTCAATTCTAATTGCAGTTTCATTACCTCTTTTCATTCCTACCTGGTGATGTATAGTGAGTGCTCAGATGGAGGCCCAGTTCCCTAGCCTGAAGCTCAAGGTCCTTCCTAATCTGGCCCCAGGCTGTTCGACCTCATCTGTTTCTTCTCTACTCAGCGGTTTCCCTGGAAGCCTCCAAGCTCATGTCACATTCCATTCTATTCTTCCTGTGTGTGTGTGTCTCCTTGACTGCTAGACTTAAGTTCCCCAAAGGAAAAGACCAGATCCTATTTGTCATTCATCTTGGTATCCCACTACCTCATCTAAAGTCTGGCGCATAGAAAGTGCTTGTTTAAAATTCATTTGCTGAGACCCTCGTGTATGCCAGGCACTGTGGTAGACCCTGGGGCTGCTGCAGTGCTCAGAGGCCCCTGATGCTCACACGGAGCTTGTATTCTCACCAGGGTGAAACAGTTTGTGAACAAATGAATATATACTACCAGGTGGGTAAGAGAAAAGGAGAAAAATAAAGCAGTCTAAAAGGTTAGCAAGTTTTGGAGACAGTGGGGAGGGAGTGGTATTTTATTTTATTTTATTTTTATTTATTTATTTATTTATTTTTATTAGTTGGAGGCTAATTACTTTAGATTATTTTAGATCAAGTGTTTAGAAAAGGCCTCTAATGAGGTGACCGTTAAATAGACACCTGAATCAAATGAGGGGGATACCAGTTGGTGTTGCGGGCAGGAGCAGTCCCGGCAGGAGACACAGCAAGTGCAGAGTCTCTGAGGTTTACCTGGGGAAAAGCCACAGGCCAAGCAAACTGGGAGAAAATGGCCATACAGAGTCAGCGAGGTGTGGACAGCATATGGGTCAGGGAAAAAGAGGCAGATTTTTGATCCAGGTGTAATGATAAGTCACTAGGGAAGAATGATGTGGACAGATTTGTATTTTAAAAGAAGCACTCTGGCTGCAGTGGAGAGAACAGGTCAGCGAGACTGGAAGCAGGGGGATGGGTTAGGATGTTATTGCAAATGGTCCAGCTGGGAGATGACCATGAGGTAGACTCATGTTTGGCCAATGAATACATTTGGTGCTGGGATGGTGGGAAGGGACAAACTCTTTCGAGAAGCCATGGCTTCTGTTACATTTAGAGCTCCGTATCATTTATAGCCACAGGGCTGAGTTCCATTACAGAGACTCACATAAGGTTTTTGGGTCTGTCTCTGAATCTCTGAATTTTATATGAAATTTAATGAGGAATGAATCATAGATTGAGATTGAATTCACTTATTTGGGAGCTCTCACAGCTTTGCTGGAATATATTTTATTTCAGAGCAAAGTTGGGTGATGTGTATACTCTGATATTTGTTTTCTGTCATGGCTGCTTTTGGATCAGATACTTGCCTGCAGGGCTTCCCAGGTGGTGCAGTGGTAAAGAATCTACCTGCTAACGCAGGAGACATAAGAGACAAAGACTGTGGTTCAGTCCCGGGTCGGGAAGATCCCCTGGAGGAGGAAATGGCAACCCACTCCGGTATTCTTGCCTGGAGAATCCCATGGACGGAGGAGCCTGGTGGGCTACAGTCCATGGGCTCTGAAAGGGTCGGTCAGACATGATGAGCAACTGAGCACACACATTTGCCTACAAGGAGTAGCACTAGTCATTTGGGGGGTGGGAGTGGATGGTATAAAGATGAATTAAATATTGCAGGATGTGTTGGTCCACTGGTGGTGAAAAGATTTGAAGAAAGAAAAAAAAAGGAGCCACGGGATACTTGGGACATGAGGTGGAGTTGAAAGAACTTTGTGGTTGAGCATTTGGGGCATGGAGTAGAATATTCTGGCATAAACCATTGTGTAACATTATGGAGAGAATGGTCACCACATAGGTTCTTTGAAAATTGATCTCAGGCCAAAAGGGAAGGAACTGGAGAAAGGAATGGTATTGGCCAATCCTGCCTTAAGACTTGATGTCTCTATTCAGAACTGTTTCTCAGGGTTTCATTGATCCCGCAGGAAGGAACAAGTACAGGTTTCCAGCATGGCTTCCCAGGATTACACTCTGATAACACTGCAGTGGATTTTTAGGTGTTTGGTGTTGGGGAAGACTCTTGAGAGTCCCTTGGACTGCAAGGAGATCCAGCCAGTCCATCCTAAAGATCAGTCCTGGGTGTTCATTGGAAGGACTGATGCTGAAGCTGAAACTCCAATACTTTGGCTACCTGATGCCAAGAGCTGACTCATTTGAAAAGACCCTGATGCTGGGAAAGATTGAAGGCAGGAGGAGAAGGGGACGACAGAGGATGA